CTCAATTATTTTCTAACACGTCGGTATGTTTATTCACTGTCTGTTTTTAAGCCTGACTAAGTGACTTTATTTTAATAAGGGAAAGAAAAAGAATTTAAAAAAGAGAAAATCATAGAAAGGAGAGACAAGAAAGTGTGTTCCAATGGAGGAAGTGATTCTTGGCCGTGCTGACGTGGTTCTCGCCTTGTCGGAAATTTAAACTGCTCCTTCAACTGCAAGACAATAAACAAATGTCAAAACCTTTAAGATTAAGAAAAATGCTATATTCAAATAATATAATCATGCTAATTAATTTAATGTTAAATATTCAAAATAACAAAATTAATCAAGCTACTATTTTAACTTGATGTGTTACACCATCTGAAAAAAGAAGATTCAAAATATTCATTGAAAAAAAAATCATAATACTTGATAATTCATTGAGCTTGCTTTATATTTTCGAAAAAATAAAAGAATATTTTTTTAATTTCCACTATGTGAAATCGAGGCGAATTGAAATCATCGATCATATAGCTTGTATGCCTCGAGTGATCAGTCTACAGACTCTGCATAAAGGCAGAATAGTGGATTATGCATTTTCATTTCTGTGACGTATGCTAAAACGAAATGTTAAAGTCTCTTTAAAAGACTATTTAAATATAAGATTTTCTCTATTATAAACAACCAACTCTTAAAAATTTGTTCCAAGAGATTCATTAAATGAATATTTTAAAATAGATAGTGGGTCAGATTCACTCTCTATAATTAAATGTCCTCAAACTATTTCAATTTTCAATGTAGAAAAATAATATAATAATTTGGAGAAAAGCTAGTGAAAATAAAATATAGAAAAAAATAATAAATACTTTTTGGGAGTAGTAAAAGTAAATGATAAAAATAAAGAACCTCTTGAAACATTTAAAATTTTTTGTTTTCTAAATTCATAGATACTCTCTAAATTGCTAAATATGCTCTTTAAAAAAAAAAAAAGTCTCTTGAAAATACTCTTAATCTTTTTTAAGTTTCCGAACACAAAAGATTTCTAATATACAAGCATGTACCTTTTGTGAGAATGAATGGTTTTTGCATGATTAAGAGTTTGTGTAGGAAACCATAGCATTCTTTCTTGAAGACAACCAAAATCATTTTCTTCCATTTTCAGACAATAATCTACAGAGAGAAACCCTTTTCTTCTTCGAGAAATAGGTTGGAGTGTTCCAACTATGAACTCGCAACATAAACTGATTATATATATACACACTTAAGTGAGCTGAGGTGGGTGGGGTGATGATACTTCTATATTTGATTATCCGAAGGATAATTATATTTACACAACATTTTTTTATATCTGCACCACATTTTGATTACAGGAAAGATTTTCAATATTTGTTCGTTTTTACTTTTAGGGTCCGTTTGATTGCAAAAATGGAATGGAATTGAATTGTTTAGAAATTATATTCCTGAGAATTGTAAATTATTATGGTTGAATGGGATAATTTTTCATGTGAAAAACGTTGAAATAAAAATGTTTTTTTATCTCCATTTGGCTTTGTTTTACAGAAAAATTGTCAATTAAAGGGATAGATTTTACAAATATTGGAGATGAAATTTGTTTTCATTGCCAACACAAAAAAAAAACAAAAATTTCAAGAAAATCATCTATCTTTTGTTGTTCATTTGGCTTTGTTTTACATGAAAATTGTCATTTAAACGAAAATATTTTTTTATAATAATTTTTAGAATTTGTTTCCATTGCCAACAAAAAAAAATAATAATAATAATAATTGAAAAAAAATGCTACAGTAACCATAGTTATCAGACCCGACCCGATTATCGACCCCAAAAAACCATCGGGTCATTGGGTCAATGGTTCAACCGGGGTTAGTGGTTAAACCGGTGAGTCGATGTTATTTCTTAATTTTAATTGAAAGTATTTTTTAAAATAAAAAGACAGTATAAATGTTATTTCATGTCATTGTAGTTAAACTAAATATATCACATTATTTGTCACAATTCTACATCTACCATGGTGGTCAAAGCTTCAACCTTTCAATAAGGTAATGAGGGTTCGATTCTCACTTCATGCAACTTTGATATAAATTTCAATAGGTACCAATTTCACAAAAATTGGTTGACATGTGAACCGGTTTTCGGTTCACTTAAATCCGCCCGGTTTATGACATATATGAACTGGTTTTGGCAGTTCTTATCCGGTTTGATTGTAAATGGACCAAACTGTGCTAACCGGACTGGACCAGTGTCCGATTCACCTGTTTTCAGGTCAAACCGGCCAGTTCGGTCCGATTTTAATAACTATGACAGTAACTAAAATTTACAATTCTCACCATGGAATCCAAGAAAAAAAAAAGAAATTAGCTTATGTGACATAAAATGTGAAATTCGAATTCTAGGGAAAATTTTGCCAATCAAACAACAAAAAATTAGAAAGATGGAATTTGATTTCCATTTTCCATGGAATTGGAGTGCAATCAAACATAACCTTATATCCACAACTTTTTTCTTGTCACATTTACATTTTTAACATTCAATTAATTAGGCCCTGTTTGATTGCTAAACATTTTCCATGGAAAATGGAAAATAACCAAGATTTTCAAACTTTTGTGGTATTTGGTAGGACAAATTTTCCATGGAAAACCTTTTCTACTTTCTTTAGCCACGTAGACAATTTCCGACTTTTTGATGAATTTGAATTCTCACCAAAATGGTGAGAATTCATTTTCCATCTTACTAGAGCTATTTTTTCCCCCTTTTTTTTTTGGAAAATGAAAACAAATTTTAAGAATCATTGTAAAAAAAAACATAAAAATAAGAAAAGTTTAAGGATATTCATTAATTAAAATGTGATGTAATTAACAAAAATTGTGGTGTATTTACCCTTATAGAATTGGGTGATGATTTGTTGCAACAGTGTTACTAAATTATCCTTTTATAAATGAGTTTTATCTTCAATATTTCTTTCCTTTTCCCTTTAAAAAAAAAAAAAAAAGAAAAAAAAACGGGCATTCCTACCACTTCATTTTCTTCTCTCATATCAATATTTAAGGTCCTAAATATATCGGAAAAGATTGTGAAGCTTATATGAACCATGCAAGAAAGTTGTAAATTCAAATTCCAGGATTTCTTATTAATTAATAAATACAACCAATTCTCTCTAAGTAATTTTCAAACTCGACAATATCTTTCCATTTTCTTTTTAACTCAACTCATCCTATTTTATAATATTCGGGATTCGATTGAGTTCCAAATAATAAATCGAGTACGAGTCATCTAATGAAATTCATTCTTGAACAAAAGTCCAATTTTTTTTTTTTATTTCACTTATTCCACGGCAGGGAGAGGGGATATTTTAATATCTCTTTTTTAAATTATGGTCATTATTTTTACTAAATAAATAAATTCAAATCCTAGTGTTGGAGAACTTGCAAGTAGTTTGTTTAGTATCAGCAATTACAAGTAACAAATGAGTAATTTAACCACCTGGGGGGGAATGTGGCTACGTGGCATGTGGATAGGCTGAGTTTACCCTCCACTCTCACCCCACGGCCCCCCCGGCCCCACCGCGCCCTAACTCCACTTCATATGTAGGTTGTTGTAATAGTTTTGTTCCTCACCCAAGATTTTATTTGCCCAAAAATGTAAAATTTCGTTATCAGAATTGAATATTGTTGTATGTTGTTCAAAATCAATAAGATATGTGAAGGGGAAATAACCATTTTTGGAGGCCAAAATTTGGCCAATGAGTATAGGCATATGTAGGGTCTAAAGGCCCTATCGTGAGATAAATTATGCGGTCGCATAGATTTGTTTAATGCAACCGCATAAAAGGCTTGACTAGTCGTTAGTGATCGTCTTGTTCAAAATTCTGGTGGCTTTTCGAGGGTTTTGGCACCACTTCGTATGGCAATGTTTGAAGGCTATAAATATTTGGTTGATGACCAAGAAAAAACATAAAAAACTCATAGAATCTAAACCCCATTTGAGATCAATTTTTCATTCCAAAGTGTTGAAAATCCATTTTCTTCTCATATTCAAACCTTACTTTTACATTCTCAAATTTTGGAGAATTTCACTAATACTTGCGTATTAAATCTTTGTAAAGACTTGATAAATCCTACAATCCGTTTATCAGGATCCCTTCAAGCATCTTAATTCAATTCGAGAGGGAGCAAATATCGTTTGAAGACAATAATAACATGTTCAGGCCTTCATCTTCATATTTATTTTCTTGTTTCTTGTTACTTGTTTCTTCTCCATCCCTTTGTAAAAATAATATTTTTGAACAAATTATTGTCTGCAAATTGATTTGGAAAAAAAAAAAAATAGTCCATGCAATGAAAACGTGACATGGAAAGTGGGTCCTTCACCTTATCTCATATCTATTTGTGTCAAGCAAGTTAGATCAACGTGAATCGATTTTCCAATAGTACTTATCGAGGTATATGTCCTTGAAAGAGCTCAATTGGGACTAAAAACTTGACTAAATGATCCTAATTACCAATCAATTTGAAAGAATTGAATAAAAAGTCATGTGAGGCAAAAATCTTGTGTACGACTCTGTAGGAAGGAAAGAATGACTTATCTATCAACTTTTTCAAGCAACTTAGACTGGCGTGAATAAGTTTTGAGACAACACTTAACTAGGTATGTAACCTTAACCCAACACGTTCATATTTTTTAAATGTACCAAACTAGTTCCAAACAGCCTAGTCCCAAATGAAAAGTATCGAACCTAATACTTTATTGTAAATATACTCTCTTAATAAACACTTTTACCATTGTAAAATTACTCAAACTTCCTAAACAAAATTAACTCAATTCACTTGCTTCTAAAATTTGTTAGCGTGTTCCATAATATTTAAATATATTTAACCATTGTATATTATAGTAATATTTGTAAACATCAACCCATTTTAACCCTGATTACAAGTGGTGGAGAGGTAGCGCGTCAGTGTTTCATAGGTTTACGTAAGGGAGATTTGTGCACAGAGAAGAGGCGCTGATTGATAAAAATTTGACTTTCTATATTACCAAATGCAACCATGACGCTGTTAAGAACATAAAAACAGAAGATATGAATCCGGAATCTCAAATAATAGAGGTGACATGCTGATTTATCGGCCTATAAATACTTAAAATGCAACAAAATCGATTTATCGGCCTATAAATACTTAAAATGCAACAAAATCGCTAAAAAAAGGAGAGTAACATTTAACAATACCCCAAAATCACACTAAGAAAGTTCTTTAAAAGAGATCCGAAAGCTAGCATTTTATCAGATGCGAGATCATAGGTCAAGTGAAGCCTAAAACCAAACAGTGTGTTCGTGAGAATAATGCGAAAGAGAATCATCGCTTCTTGGAGACACCAACAGTCTTTCCCCTACGGCCAGTGGTCTTGGTGTGCTGTCCACGCACTCGAAGACCCCAGTAGTGACGGAGACCACGGTGGTTCCTACAATTGTCTCACAAAACCCAAGTAAATATAGGCAAGCAAGAGAAACAGATCAAAATAGCAAAGCATAAGATTGAACCTAATCTTCTTCAAACGCTCAAGATCATCCCTCAGTTTCATGTCCAGAGCATTAGAAGTCACTTGAGAAAATTTTCCATCCTTGTAATCCTTCTTCCTGTTCAGAAACCAGTCAGGGATTTTGAATTGTCGAGGATTGGCCACAATAGTCATCAAGCTGTCAATCTCAGCGGCCGAAAGCTCACCAGCCCTACAACAGTTGTTTCCAAGATAAAATTTTCGATCAGGTCAGTCCTGAACTTAAGTCATGAGCAAAAGCCAAGGTTTCCATACAATCTAAATTCATAAGCGTAATTAGCATGAAATTAAAACCTTAAACCCAAAGTAAAATGCTATCACAACATGATGTACATTGAATAACATGTAAAGCCTCCTATTGGTCTACAAAAAAACAGACCATAGCTTGATGAACGAAAATGCATTGGACAAAATATACTCAAGCTCCATTTCATCCCATGGAACTGGTGGTTACCAAATTCACAATAGTAGAAGTAGGAGCGAATCCACCAGGTGTGAATTGATATTTCACCAATGTCCAATTCAAACCCCCTCCCTGCTAGGGTGTAAAGGTTGAAAGGGCTGCATTGAGTATAAAGGTCCACGGCCTGGCAAGCCTGCATTAAATCTTTTTTTGGTTTTCCCAAAGAATAAATTGAAAACCAAAAATTAGATTAACCAGTGAGGCCAAGTGGCCCGCTCTGCAATTTTTGTCAAACCCCCTCCCTGGTATGGTGTCAAACATTCTGTTGAATATAAGCATTCATTTTTATCGGCAGACATGCTCAGCTCAAATTACATAAGAATTACAATCATAAAATCATTATGACTAGGAATGCAAACCCCCTCCCTGCTATGGTGTCCAACATTCTGTTGAATATAAGCATTCATTTTCATCGGCAGACAGGCTCAGCTCAAATTACATAAGAATTACAATCATAAAATCATTATGACTGGGAATGCCTGACTGATTCCCAAACTAAGAAGAATGCCAAACAACAAAGATGAAGAAATAAAAACTGTGCCAAAATAACAATTTGTCACGACTAAGATGCTACATTCAAAGTATTTAGTTGTAGCAAAAGACAACACTCAATCACCATGTTATAGTCAACTTACAAAATGATTCAATAAAATAAAAACAACATTCTGACTAAAAGGACTGAATTAGCAGTAATTCCAAAGCGTGGCCTTTATTTTATCTAATGGTAGTGTATTTAATTTTAACATTTCGAATGAATATGCCAGTCCTCTTCAGAAATTCAAATATTTGCCAATGCTTTTTGCAGTTATCTAGATCCAACGTTTTTCTGGTTAACTAAATTTTTCGATGAGACCTTCTCCCTCTAAGGGAGATATTTAAATAAACATTCTTTTTGTGATATTTGTGCAAAACAAAATTTAAGGATATTATGTTTTCTGTGACAGTAAATTTTCGAGTGCTCTCAGGGTGTCTCAGGAGTGTCAATATTAAGATAACTTATGCGACGTTGTCATAGCACTGAATCAATAAATCAATTCACTCGATAGAATCAGCAAGCGTATAAAATCAGCAAGGTAAAAACATTATATGTAGCGGAGTAAAAAAATTAAATAATATGAAAAATAAAGAGATACAGAGGAAAAAGGAAAAGAAAACCTCTTGTTCATGTCAATATCAGCTTTCTTGCAGACAATATTGGCGAATCGACGACCGATACCCTTGATTGACGTAAGTGCGAACATTATCTTCTGCTTACCATCCACATTCGTGTTCTGCACACGAAGGATGTGCTGAAAATCCTCATTTGCTATCAAAGACTGCAAAATTCAAAAATCGACAAAAGATATAGATCAATACCGAGATCAACAGAAATCTATGCATATGAACGTATATGCAGGAGAGATTAACCATGGCTAGAATTCGGTCGGTTTGTGTAAGACGGCTGCTTTGGCTTCGGAGGATAAAAAAAAGCCCAAAACCCTAAATCTTGTTTTGAGTCGCCCGGTTTTTATATACCATAGACTGGAGGACTACATTGTAAATTGACATTTTAATCTCGAGTTAATTGTTCCAGTGGTCATTGAACTTATATTCATGTCTTTGATTGACCACTGAACTTTAAATGTCGAGTTCTAGTCACTAAACTTAGATCCATATCTTTGATCGACCACTGAAATTTAAAATGTCAAGTTTTAGTCATTGAACTTTGAAAAATGTTGTACATTACTAAATATTGTACATTACTTACTGAACTTTAAAAAATATTGTATATTACTCACTGAATTTTGAAAAATGTTATACATTATTCATTTTAAACTTGATATTTTTCAAAATTCAACAGTTATACTAGTGAGTAATAAATGGCATATTCCAAAGTTCAGTGGTCAAAATTCGACATTTTAAACTTCAATGAGCAATCTAAGATATGGACCTAAGTTCAGTGAGCAATCAATGACATCGACCTAAGTTCAATGACCAAAATTGGATATTTTAAACTTTAATGACCAATCAAAGACATGGATCTAAATTCAGTGACCAAAACTCGACATTTTCGAAATTTGGTGTCAAAACTCGATGTTTTAAACTTCAGTGGTCAATCAAAGATATGGACCTAGTGACCACTGGAAAAATTAACTCTTTAATCTCTAATAATTTAGTTTTTTTTTTTTCATTTTAATTTTTGCACAATAAACGATCCACTAAAATAATACTTTCGGACTCGGTAATATTATTATTTTAGAGGTTGATTAATTTTGCACAACAAACCTCCATTAAATTGAATCGTTTAGAAGGCCCCAACACGAATAGAGTTATTTTGTCCTACTCTACAATCTACTACACTCTTATGAGATAAATATTGGTATTTTTCAATCCATTATGAGAAATTTTACTAACTATTATATGCTTGAGAGTTGAGACATGATAGGAGCAATTAATCTGATGAACAAGAACGACGGGGATGGAACAGGCAAGAAAGAGTTGCGAATCTCGCTTTATATATATTTTTTAATTTAAAAAATAAATTTAATATTAGGTTTGGGCAAAATCGGGTTGATTGCAAAACTCAACACCAAAATCGACTTGCATACTTTATGCCTTAATCAACTTGAGAATCGACTCAAATCAAATCAGGTTGAGTCAGTTTCCTTTAATTTTGTCCTTTGACGGTTATTATGTCTAAGCATTACTTTTAATAAATTTTGTAAAATGTGATGCTTACATTGCAAAAAGAATAGGAATGTCGTTAAATTTGATTGGAGCTAAAAGAAAAGGTAAACAACTTCAAGTTCCTATTTTTAGAAAGAGTTGATTTGAGATGGAGGATGTTATACAAGTAAAAAATTGCGTATCATCGACTTTTTTCTATTTTATTCAACATATTCTTAAGGGCTTAAAGGATTACAAATATTATTTTTCTACTCAAACTAGCAAAACTCCTATTTCAAGTAGCACTCTTAAAGTCGATAGCTCTTTACAAACTCTTCGATTCGTTCTCTTTTAGCTGTTGATCATTACCAAATCCTTCTCCACAAGGACGTCTAGCAAGGACCTTTCACAATGACCTAAGAAGGAAGTTTGTATAATAAGATTTATTTTCTCATCATATTTTTTGATAAGTCAAGAAAAATAACAAATACAAAAGTTAGATGAAAAAGCCTACATGTACTTAATTATTGCACATAATGTTATCCATAATGTGACGTGACAATCATCAAATTATTGATGTGAAAGTATGAGATTTGAATTAAAGGTTACATCCAGTGCCACATGTAATTATGAAAATTATTATGTAGACAATTATGTACACCTAATTCCACCGAAGTTAAATATTTAAACAGAGCGGCAGGTTATAATAATAATTTAATTTATAAGGACTATAGGAGTAGGAGCACACATCGTAAGCCATGAATCCCTAATCAGTAAGCAAATACGCTAACAATTTTAAACGGATGTCATGCACCTCCGAACCTAAAATAACGAAGGTCAGCCATCATTCGCCCCAACTGATAATCGAAAATTTTCTTTCCACTTGGGAGAAGGGCAAAAACAGCTCAAGTTCAATACCAACAAGAAAAACATCTCCCTACTGAACTGGCAAGAGTAAAACATAGCAGTACCCAAAGGTTTACAATCAGGAATCGGGATCAACATAGCATGCTAGAGATCATGTCATATAATCATATGAAACTGAATGATTTTCTTCCTTCTACTGAAAAACTGCACGAAATTGCATTTGTTCTAATAAAAGACAGCAACTACCCAAGATAAATGACAAATAATATGTGAAACTTGGCTCCAAAGAGAATTTTCTGTATTCAGTTTCCGAAGTTTTGAAGCATGAAATCCTAAAAACTCATTTCTTCTTGCCAGCCTTAGCAGCATCTCCAGCTTTAGTCTGTACAAGTCCATTAAAGAAATTAGTTGCAAAACAATAGTGATAGTAACATGAATATAATACCAAAATACTAGTGCTCAGAAGATCGTATAAAAGAATATCATTCATTCAAACTTTTGAAAATAGAAAATCAAGAGTGGACGTGCACAGGTCTGTTGGCATGCCCTTTGATTAATTTTAAGATAACCTCTTTTACCTGATCCAGTTCATTCACAACCCCAAAAGCCAGTTAAACCGTCAGTTAAAAAAAGAAATGATTAAGTTGATGTCAAGTGCTTCTCAACAGTTATTATAAGCTATACCAATAATTGCAAAATCTTTGACTTTTTATACCATGTCCAGAAACTCAACCAAAAAAGTGGAAAGTATTACCTTCTTCACACCACGGATCTTCTTTGCTCTGTTCTTTCTCTCCTTCAGTTGCTTCCTGGACTTCTCGACCTTGGTATCAAGACCATTCTGCATAAAAAATCACAAATGTCCAAAGCAAAATATAAAAATCTTTAAAAAAAAGTTTAAGAGGCCTGAGAAATAAAACCAACAAACCTATCAACTAATAAAACAACAATTCAAACAAAATAACTGATTCAAAAGAGGTCAAGCATGTATAATATGACACACTAGAGAGAATTTTTCTCCACTTCAAATTGACATCATTAAGAAGTAAGAATTATAAAATCATCGAAATGTGAAAAAGCAAATGCCATTGTGGAAAAATAAGCACATCCTGCAGTGATGCATTCATATGGATCTTTTTGCTTTTTGTGCACAAGTCGTTTTCAACATCTCCTTATGGATTTTCTGCGGATAACTTTTAGAACTTCAAGGGGAAATACTTCGTCCGGGTCTCAACTGAGTTTTCAGTCCATTTCATCAACTATGAATATCGGCATTACATAATCAAGGGTTCTTATGGGAAAGTGGTGATGATGAATGGTATTAATTTTTCTTTATATATACTAGTTGCGCTCAATGTGCATCACAATTTATTCCAGGCTTTGTCAAAATCTTGTAGAAATGTTATTTTGACATGTTTGGTCAATACTAATTAATGTATTGAGTATATAATATTTTATGCAAATGAGCATTTCATAAGATGAGAACCTCTCTCTCTGTATAAAATTTTTTTTGCAAGTTAAGCCGTATCTGATTTGGCAAAAACTTTCATCATTACACCATAGTTCCTCTAGAAATTGCCACATATGAGTATCCAGATAGAATAAATGTTGTAAAACCTATATTTTGAAAAGAGTTATCATTTAGCCATGCACATAGTAACGCAAAACCAAAGGCACAGTCATTTTAGGGGGATGCATATAGACATATCAAGTTGCAACTAGCCTCCAAAGAAAATCAAAAGCAACATAGAAATGGTTCCATATCATGACGAGGTCAATTTAAGGACAAATGCATGCAGCAAAAAAGTAATAACCATCTAAGTAATGAAGGAAAGATGCACGCGAAACACACTTACTGGGTAAGTACAGGAAGCCAATTTTTTTATAGGCCTCAAGTGCCGGGGTAAAGTAAAAAATAAATAACTACTATAGTCTACGCAGCAGAAAAGTGTCACACAAGTACAACTAACAATTAAATATTCATAATCCCAAAAGATGTTGGGCCGACCATGCAAATGAATATATCACTAGCTTAGATGTTACATTTACCAACATAGAATAAACAATTGTTACATTTACCAACATAAAATAAACAACACGAGAGGTTTATGGTGTAAAGGACTTACCCTGATGAGTCTGTATTTCGGCTCATATTTCTTCGCATTCTCAACAGAATCATAGATCAAGCCAAAACCAGTGGATTTGCCTCCGCCAAAGTGGGTCCTGAACTTGAACACAAATATTGCATTTGGATCTTTCACTTCATACATCCTTGCCAATTTCTCTTTCAACTCAGCCTACAATGATATCCAAACTAGGTATAACTAAAGGAGACCACGAATTTTTTACCCAAACTAAATCAAATTGCCAATATAAATGTAAAAATTAGACGCACAACAAAATTTGAGCAGAAAATTGCTTTTAGCAAACTTAAGGTAACTAATAATCATCAACCGAGAGCACCAACAGATTTATTTATTTATGAAGTTTCATTCAATATTTCCATTATTATGCCACGGCTTGTATAACGTTCATAAAACAATAAGTTTAACAATTTTACAGTTAACCTTGTAAATCATCGACAAAGGACACCAACAGATTTTTCTAATTATATTATCGACTACAGAAGCCAGTTTAACTTTCAATAAACCACAGATTTTAACCTTTTCAGAATATGACATAGACAGAGACTAGTACAAAATATGAGGAGTTCTCGAATCTCAAACACATATACTTCAATCCATGAAAACTATAAATAAGGTATAATGCGAAAAATAATGAGAAGTCAAACCTTAGAAACATTTGCCCGTCCTGGATGTAACACGTCAATGACCTACAAAACAAATCCAACATAAAAATGAGTGTAAAAATATCAAATTGCACAATTAAATAGAAACTAGAAAAATACAATTACAAATGTTAACATACAATAAAACTGAAGACTTACAAATTGTTTCCTAGAGAGGAGACGATTTGTCATGAACTTCCTGGTTCGGATAGTCACAGCCTTGTCCGCCATATTCTGTAAATATAAGAAAAAACCCACAGATTATTCAAAGTCTACATCTACATGCACAAAGTGATGTATGTGTACATATAAGAGGAGAGAAGTAAAAGATTATTACCTTATTTTTCTCGCCAGTAGCTCCTTGGGCTGCCTCCGCCGGCGCGTCGTCGATGCAAAAGCAAAAGAGATAAAATTGTACTCTAGGGTTTAGACGTATAAAGGTACTTTCATGGGCTATTGTGGGCTAAGCAACGAAATGGCAGGCCCGTTAGTTATTATATATTTGGACCTAGTGGAAATTACATCCCACCAGAATTTTAAAGACCACTATTCTTAAATCAGGCGATAAATTTAATTAAGCAAAAATCAGATTGTTAATATATAATAATATTATAAAATTAAATAAATTTACATACCCATCCACCAATCCGTTCACCCCAACAATAATTCATTTCCAATCGATTATCTCCTGAGTTCATACTCGGCAACTCTTCATGACACACCACTTCGCGCGACTATTCACTGGGCAGTAGTGACGCTCCTTCGTACTAAGCACTCAACGCAGCTTGTCATTGCTATCGATGCATTGAAATGTCTAACGGAGTCTCGAACGTTCTCATGCTGCACCTCTACCTCTTTAGAGATGTCGTAGCTACACACAAAAACAGAAGACGATTTTGTACAGTTTGGGAAAAGAGAATATGGGGAAAGAAGCTATTGCCGTCTGTCGCGATTTGATTTAGCATGCGGATGGCGTCATTGCGCGTGGCATGAATGTTGCTACGTGATCTGAATCTTAGGACAAACTCAATAATTATCAGTACCAATGTCACCATCATCGCTGCGCTGCTTCTTAGGTATGGTGAAATCTAGTGGCAGGCAGCCCTGTGCTCGAAGAAACAGCTAGACATGCTATTGTGATCTGGTGCGTCGCGGCAACTGTGCGCTCATCATTTTCTGCTTCTAATATGATAATGGTTGATCTATAGCAGCCCAGATCTATTATTTCCTTCTTCTTCTTCTTCTTCTTCTTCTTCTTTTTTATTTTTTTATAATTTATGAGTTTGATTTCTCCAATGGTTATGGTGGTTTGTGCAGTTGATTGTTGCCATGGTGGTGTTTTTTGCAGTTGTCGTGGTGTGTGATGGTGTTGTGATTGTTTGTGATTGTTGTGGATATGGTGGTAGTGGTGAGATGGCTGTGGTGATGGTGAGTTAGTGTTGGTGTGGTGGCGACTATGGCGATGGTGGCAACGATAATGGAGTGGAGAGGAAGAGTGTGATCCATTATTCAGGTGCTGTGATCAATAAATAATTTGTTATCTAAAAGAATGTGTGATAGTGACTAAATCTAAAATCGTGACGAGATTTCAATAATTTGGAACCAAATATTTCGATAATTTGTAATCGTGAAATAAATTGTGGTATATAAAATTTGTAATTTGTTACCTATAAATTTTTGGATTTGTGATGATTGATAAATTGTGATCTATAAATTTGTTTATTTGTGGATGTCAAATAATTTGTAATTTGTAACCGTGCCCAATAAATTGTGAAACTTAATACCTAGGAACTGCTTTGTTGCATATAGCTCAGATATGATTTCCCCCTACTTTTTTATGATAATTGTATTACATTTTAAAATAGTAAAGAATATATAATCTTTATTTATTGTTTTATTTATGTCTTTATCTTTCTTTCTTTTTTCAACTCATTCTTGATTCTTAGCTCGAAATCTTTCATTAATTAGTACATCTTATCATTGATGATGGTTTCATCCAAATTTTTTTTAGAATACTTTAAAATGAGGAACAAATATTTAGTTGTAATTTTGTATTTGTTGATGCAGAATCGAGGTATTTTACAGGGTCATCATGCTCAAAGTCGTAGGATAAGTCATTTAACGTCCATACACACCTCAATAAAGCTTTTGCATTTATTCTACATCTCGTTTTACATTATTTTCGTCTTACAATTTTTACAATACTCTTATCTACAAACATTGAGGAAGTTGGCAAGAAAATTGGTAATGTTATAATACCTTTAAAAAATGATGCTATTCATAGATATGATTGATGATCAGCATTCTATGGCTTTGCTTGTCTTCCTTTTTTCCATATTTTACCACGTTATTTTTTTCTACAGTACTCATTTTCAACTACACATTCTTCATTAAAATAATATTACACATAAATCAAAAACTTTTCTTTCTTTTTTAAGTTTTTAACCACACATTTCAACATCAATTGCTATTTTATAATACATTACACACAAATAATAGGGCACAAACAAGCACTGTGTGTTAATTGAGTGACTGACCATCTTAAGCGGGATCCAAATCCCTACTTTGAGAGATAAAATCACTTAGAGGGTGTTTGAAACCTATTTTTATGTAAAAATACATTTTAAAATAGTAAACTGATAGAAAATGTGTGATTGAAAAATAAGAAAAAATGTTTGATTTATGTGTAATATTATTTAACAAAGAATATGTGATTGAAAAATAAGATAAAGAGAAATGCATTTTGAAAAAAATGAGTACCAAATGGGTCTTAATATAATTTATCGATACTTAGATGGCTGACCTTCAACAATCTAAATGAATAGCATTTGTGAAAAATCTTTAATACAATTAAAAGTGGTAGAAAAAAGGTTGGATGTCGTTATTAAAAAAGGTGTGTAGGGTTTAGGGGCCTGCCCCTACCCCCAAGCTCATTTGGTTTTCAGTGGAAAAAATTTGTGGAATTTACGCCCAAACCTATTTTTTAAAGATGACAATTCAAAAATAAGATGTAAAATTTATTTAGTCCTTGTTTGAGCCTCATTTTTTAATCAAAATACATTTTTCAATAGTAATTTGACACAATTTCAACCACAAAATTTTCAATAAAATAATATTACACGCAAATCAAAAACTTTTTCTTATTTTTAAATTACACATTATCCATCGTAACACTATTTCAAAATACATTTTTGAAAAAAAAAAGGAGACTCAAACAACCCCTTAATAAAAAAATAGGTGATAATTTACTATTAAATATTAATAACAAGATTATAAAATTAAATTAATATACAAAACTACCGCCCCACCCATCTATCCTAACTCAATTTCACTCACAAATCTAATTCATTTCCCAACCTATTCCCTCTCCATCTTCTCTCTCGGTACCGACAAGAAGAGGACCAACACCACTGCAAGAGAGTTGCGCAGACTACGAGGACCTTTGCCCTGGGTTCCTCTGCCCAAGAATGCCATAGCTACGAGGACCTCAGCCTTCAGGTGCGCCGCATGACCTTTGTTCATTTCGAAAAACTCCGTTGAAAGAAATGACGTCGCTGCATGCACAGTGGCTGTGTCAAAAGAAGAGATGATATCGTCGGGATGCGTCGCACTGTAGTCGATTGGATCTCGTTTTGGATGTACGCAATGATGCCGCAAGGAAAATTAGGCATATTTTCAAAAGTTGGAAAATGTTTTCCATGGAAAAAAATAGCAATCAAACACTCCAAGTAGGAATTTGAATGGAAAACTGATATTTTTCATGAAAAATAAATGTAATCAAACACACCCTTATATTTCTACTTTTTTTCACTTTATCTTTGTTAATATCGTCTAAAATGATAATACCTTATAAATGAAAAAGAAAAAAAAAATTGTCAAAAACAAGTATTTTCCCTTTGTTTCTTTTTCACCTCCATTACAAGAGTGGGACACATTCATTGATTTTCGGTAAGAACTTGGAAGTGCATGAAAGAGAATCTGGCAATAGAAGACCCGTGCTAATATTATTTTTAATTTACATGTAATATTATTTTATAAAAAATTGTATGATTGAAAATAAAAGCAAAAAAAATGAAAGAGAATGAGGGCTAAACAAGAGCTTAATATGTACTCAATTGCAAAATATGGCAATTATAACTTCTTCATGTTTGATTTTATTAATAATAAGATTTATAGTAATTTTTCTCAAAGTTAATCAAATATGTTATTGAAAAATTAAAAAAGTCGTGCGTCTCACAAAACATATAGTTAAAATTAATTGTTGATTTTGAGTATGTGGATTCGAAATTTTTACCTTGAATTTGCGATGCATTTATTTTTTAATATTGAAATTTCATAAGAATTAGATACCAAAACATACAAGTTTTTGAATTACTTTTGGTAAGTTTAATATTATAAACTGGAATTTCAAGATTCAATATATATAGTATTGTTGAAGGCAGAATTTAATTGTTTATATACATGTGCGTCTCTTTAAAAATTTAAACTTTTAGATCATATGGTTTAATGGGACCACATCTTGCTACCACAAATTTTATAAATTTGAGCACATGTTACACCTTAATGTGTTATTCTCGAACAAGCCATAATTTTGCAGGTGGTGTCAAGTGATAAAATTATATGTTGTTGTATGTTTATTTAGTAGAGTAGATAGTACATGGAAGAAAACGAAATTTAAATGTTGCTTCTTCTTTTTTTTCCCCCTAATTTTTGAGTCCTATCCATTGTCTTGATACATTAGACTAAACGCCAAGCTGAATAAATATTTCACTTCTAATCGAGTCTTTACATACTTAACCTTTTTTTCGTATATTAGGTATTGTTGATACACTAAAAGTGCAGCCCAAATCAAATAGCCCAAAGAGTGAAGCCTAATTGGGGAATCCAGGATAAATGTCTGTTGATACACTAAAAGTGCAGCCCAAATCAAATAGCTCAAAGAGTGAAGTCCAATTGGGGAATCCAGGATAAGGGTCTAAACAGGATTATTGATGAATGCGGTGGAAGCCCATGAACACAGTAACATCATCGCCCAAACTTGCAAGACGCCCAGAATCTGAGCGAATAGAATACCTTACGGTCGCCCAAAGCGATGACCACGTTCTCGCCCAAACTTTCGAATCGCCCAGGATCTTAACAAGCATAAAACATTATGGTTATCCAGAATAGCAGTTATTGAAGCAGTTATTGAGTGATCTTATCACATTCCACTATTCAAGGAGCCCAGTTGAAGGCAGTTGAATGACAAAGAGTAATGGCAACAGTTAGGGACGGCAGTTCCACGATAAGTTAGCCACTATAAAGAAAGTGGGTAGTTATACAGCAATCAAGCAGATTCCAAGCGGTTTGTCACGAAGAAATCATCAAAAAAATATAAAAGGAAGAGAAGACATAGAGAAAAGGACCCCGAATCAAATACTCTCAAACAGAGAATATGTAATTTCAATTTCTTAGTTT